GGGGTGGCACAGTGAAGGGGGAATGATCTTTTGGAAATCTTTATAGCTTTTACAAATAATGGTGCTAATAATAATTTCTAGTCTTTGTAAAGAACTTCGCTGTTTCCTCTGAAACCCTCCTGGTTTCTTCAAGAGAAATCGTTCAATTCCCTAGAAACATGTTTTTCTAACTAAGTAGATTAGTTTACATCTTGTGGCACTTAAAAACATTATTATTATACCAAAAAAAAAAAAGGCTCAGATTTATGGCTCTTTCTCAGGCCAGATCTCCCTGGCAGTGGTCGCTGGCTTAAACTTCAGTTTCTTCAAAGCTTTTCAGCTGCCAGGGTTGCTCTGTCTCTCCTTCTCTTCCCATCCGCTCTGCACATCTCATGAACCTCTTCTCCACAACCCAGGGCTTTGCCCCAGGACTATAATCTACTGGCTTACTGCAGGGAGAGGTGTTAGCAAATTGTCACTCATCACAGTCTCTCGTATACCCCGTGTGTGCCACAATTACAACCCAGTTAGAGGATTGGTTATAACACAGTTGTCACTTGACCCCGTTCCAACATCGATAAAGTGTAGATGGAACCTAGTCAGGTCTCTGTAATCAGACTAACACTAGGCTATGTATGGCCATTTAGCACTCCTCCTTCTTTTGCATCCCCTCTCCTTTCAGCTTTCTGAACAACTTCCCATCCCGTGGCTGGATGTGGTTCGGTGCTATGCTATTGCCACCAGCCCCAGTGCCATCTGCCCCAGTCTGGTGCTGCTCTCTGATACTTACTGCTGTGAATTCTCTCCCACGGAGAGTTAGTCTGCATGCAGATACAGCCAGTGCTTGGCCCAGTGAGGCGCTGGTTCTGACAGGGCCCTTAGTGCCCCACTGCATTAGTGATACAGCATTAGGGATACAGGTCTGATGAAGGCATGAGAGCAGAGACTGGCACGAGGTCTTGCAGTGGGATTCTTGACTCACCCTGAATCCTCTTCTGGACAAACCTGCACTTTGTGGGTTCCTTGAATGCTGCATTTGAAGCCTAAGGACAGACGTCAAACACCAAGGCTATGGTTACACTGCCCAGTTAACCTGGGTGATCAGTACCTGGGTCTGAGCACCCAGGTTAGCCTAGCCTACTTGTGAGCATCTCCACAGCAACATCTACAAGCTGCCCTCCTTGCCTCAGCCATGCTCCCCGCCATGACAGGAGGGATGGGGGAAGAGGGGGTGCTATATACCTATGCTGGGTGAGTTTCCCAGGATTCAATAGACAGACTTTAAAGCAGAATGGTACAAAGCAGCCTTAACACACCAGAGAAGCTGGGGCAGTTGCTAAATCACAGTATCTTAAATTGGGGCATTTCACATGTGCCCTATAAACTGGAGCTGGGTGAAAACTTTTCATCAAAACAATTTGCTGTTGAGACATGCCATCATGATGAAAATAGTTTTTTTGCAAAATCGTATCGATTTTGATGAAAGTTCATTTTGGGAAAAACATTTCAAAAATGTCAAAACTTCCAGATGTTTTGTTTTGAAATTTACTTTATTTTATATGAAAACATTTAAAATAATAATAAGTGGTCAAAGTTAAAACAAAATGTTTTGGTTGACCGGGGGGGTGGGGGGGGATGCGAATTTTGTTCTGTGAAAATTTGTGAAATTTTGGCTTTTCCTCTTCATTTGGGATGAAAAAAAAATTTCAAGTTCTCCAAAGATTCTGTGGAATGGAAAATCCATTTTCGGGGGGGAGGGAGGGGCTCTACCATAAACACAACCAAACTGAGGGGATGAAATCTGCTTGTCACGGCTGGAGCACTTGGGCCTGAAATAACTCCTGTATAGGAGCCAAGACTTTCCAACTGATTAGCTTGAACAACTAGCTCACAAAAGAGTCCAAATATAGCCATTTACACCAATTAAGGATCTGACCTGTAGAGTTTCTTAAACTACTATGGAGAAGTTCCTGTATTTTTAATCTGCCCATTGTTCCTTTCCCATTTAGTCTTCAGATTTTTAGGTAGACCTGTTACTTCAAGTTATGTTGTTGTGTTTAGTTTTGCTACCATTATTTAAAAAAATAGCAATGACATTATGGGCTTCCTTCTGGTTTTTCAAACCCTGGTGTAAATCAGGAGCAACTCAGGTGAGATCAGCCAGTCAAATTCTCACCTATTTCCATTGATGTAAATCTACAGTAATGGCTGTGTAAACCAGCTGAGTTGGATTAGATTTGTAGTGGTTTCACCAAGAGCAGATTTGAGCCCACTGGAATAATTCAGGGCAGGTAAAGCCAGTATCAGCGAGATCAGAAGCAGCACTGAGCAGTTCTCCAAAAACAGTTAAAAATAATGTGAAGTTCACTCCTTGCACAAGATCTCAAAAGTCCACTAAAGCCCTGAAAATAGGCTCTGCACAGGGGTGAATTTTCCCCATAAGGCGTAAACATAATAAAGTTCTGACCCTTGTCAGAAAGTCAGCCCCATCTGGCAGCAGCTCCATGGCCTGTGTGGAATGAGCTGGCCATCTCAGACTATTTCCCAGGGGAGAAAGGTCCATGTCCAAAAACCACCATTGCCAAGGTCACTCGGGCTGCCCACTCAGCAGAGAAGCTGAGGACTGAATGGGTCATGGAGAACGAACTGTGTTCTCTCCCTAGAGCCATGCCTTGGAGTCATGGTTCAGATCCATTGGTGGCAGTGGATGTGCAGGAAGCTTGCACTGCTGCTGCCCATACTGTACTTGTTCTGTTAACAAAGAAAGGGATTCAGGCCCCAGGATGGGCAGTGGAGCATCCTCTGTCAGCGCTAGATTCATTCAAAAAGGGAAGGGAGAGAAATGGAAAAACCTAGCATAAATGTCTTTGTCATAAAAGCTGGCAGAGTGTGGCTCTGTGCTTCCCTAAATAAAAAGGGAGAGGAGAACAAAGTGAAGCAGGAAAAGACCGGTGCCCCCTGGGCACCGTGAGCCCAGCTGAGGTGGGCAGGGCAAGCTGGGGTAGAGGACAGCACTCACTCCCCTTTGCTGGGGAATTAGCTTCGTGCTGAGCTGCTTTTATCAGTGACAAATTTGGAGCCAGCAGCACAAAGGCCAGAATAAAAGGGAGCAGGGCGGAAAGGGAGAGAGCAGCAGAATCCAGGGTCCGTTTGTGTTTCTGGTTTTCTTCCTTCTTTCTTGTGGAAGTTGGCACGGGGAGGTTGGTGTTTTGTTTTGTTTCTTTCTCTCCGATCCCTCTGGCAACCAACAGACAAAGAGAGCTTCATTGACTGCTTGCTCTGTCCCAGGGGAAATGGAGCCAAGCTGGATAGAGAATCTGCAAGAGGGGAAGAAAGGAAGAAAGATGGGCTCAGAAAAACACAACCTAAGCAAAATGTGCAGAGAGAGACAAATTGAGCTGTTCAAAGGACGGTGGCAGGAGAAAGGAATGAAGAGGGGGCTGCTTTGGGAAATCCTTGGGATCAAAGACATTGGGGAGAAAGGTTCCAGAACTGCTCTGCTCTCCATGCAAAGCTGGGGCTTCCAGTAATAGGCATAAAAAGGCTGGCCTATGGCATGAGCCCAGCCCCAGGGAACGTGGCCAGATCATGGAGCGCAACGCCCTGTGCTGTGCCAAAGACCTGGAATGATGCTGCATATCCACAAAGAACACTTCCCCGGCCACGTCCCAGCAGCGCAATGCCCCTCACGGGTGGAAGGTGGAGTGTGTTCAGGTTATTCAGGGAAACACCTCCTGCAGCAGAGCAGCCTCCTACACTGCCGGTGTGCTGTGGGATAGGGAGATGGAACGTGTTCAAACGTACCTATCTGTTGCTGGACTCTGTTGTTTCCTGTTGTCTCCATACCCGTAGCCTTGATGTTACCCTGGACTCCAATTTCCTTCTCCTCCTACATCCCTCAGATCTGCAGCACACCTCCTGCGTGATCCTGCCGTGATTTCACCACCTTTCCCCTTGCAGCTCCTCTCCCTTGGATTCCTGCAACTCCCTTCTCTGCAGCTCTGTTTCCCAGAGCTCCAGGGCCTGGCATGTGCAGAACTGCATTGCTCCTGCCTCCTCACACCTATGAGGAAGCTTGAGCCCAACCCATGCCACAGACAGTTCCGCTGACTTCCTGTCTGCATTAGAATACAGGTCAAAAGGATTCTACATGGTCCAAGTTCATCCCTGGAGTAACACCCTCAACTTCAGTGGAATTACATGAGTTTGGCAAAATGTGTTCTAACTCCCTCTTTGGAACTTTCTCCAGCCCATCCTAAGGGACATGGGGCCAGAATCTCAGCTGATGTAAATCAGTGTAGTTTTGTTGGCTTTGATGGAGCTATGCTGATTTACATCAGCTGAAGATCTGGCCTCTCTGGGCCTCTCTCCCAGCTCCTTTATTTAGCTAGCATCAGCCTCATTCTCACAATCTGGCTATTGGTGGTGCAAGAACCTTCTCCTTTGCTGCTCCTACCACCCGGGACACCTTGCCTCTAATACTCCACTGTCCATCTCAAATCTAAACTGAGGACACATTTTCTCCCTTGCCCATGGTTATTATTATTTAATATTCTCATTATGTTATCCCAAAAGACCCAGTAAGAATCCATTATGCTAGAAGCTGTGCAAACACATACAAAGACAGTCCCTGTCTGAAGAGCTTAAAATCTGTGCCTCTCGATTTCTCTCGGCCACCGCTGTTATTTATTATTAGCTCTATAGTTTTATTATCCACAGCTGCTGTAAATCAGCAGAGCTCAGCTGAAGTCAGAGGAGCTCCATCAACTGAGGATCTGGCTCAAAAGCTCTAGAGAGTTTGAGGATTCAGTCTCTCTGAAATCTGCTGTATGAAATGATATTGCCTTTTATTGGTCTTTGCCCCAAGTGGGTGATTCACTGTTAATACCAGCGTACAGTGTTGCAGGTGAGAGATGCAAACTTCCCCTAGCCTCTCCTTCCCCCCGGTTGTGATGGTTTTGCTTGTACGGGGTTTGTTTGAAACTACTCAGCTCTTAGTTTGCTCTGTTCCTTCTCTGCAGACTGTGATTCGTACTGCAAGCCAGCCAAAGGCAACTACAAGATTAATATGAAAAAATACTGCAAGAAGGATTATGGTAAGCTGCTCTTCCTTCCTGAAGTCAACTTCGCAGGGAAGAAGAGTGAGGAAATGGGCCAGCGGACACCTGCTGCCACGCCTTGGATGGGCAAACCCAGTCCTGGGATGGGAACACAATTCTGTCCCACCCTGATCTGTCGGAGCATCTCACCCTGCCCTAGGCGGGTCGTGCTCTTCTGGACTGAGAGGGGAATTCAGTTTGTGTTCACTTCATCCAAGCTTCCCCCACCCTCTGTTCCTCTCCTATTGGGCCTCAATCTAGCCAGAGATCCAGCTGCTTACAGAGAGGCATCCAAGGTCAGCGGTGACCAAAAGTCATTGCCATCTGGTGGTAGTTCGATGGCGCATGGTGGTCTCTGGCCAATGGTGGACTGGTGTCCACATCCCCTATCTTTCCTCAGCTGACCCTCACCCTCACTGTAAGAGATGGCAATCAGCACCCTAGTTGGTAGAGATGCTAAAAATTAAAGGCTATCTTGTTCAATGGCTTGAATATGCATTTGCAGGCAGGAATCTGAGAATTTGGTGTTTTAATTATCTGATTTGCAACTGCAGTCAGGAATTCTGGGCTTCAATTACTCAGATTTAATTTAATTTAATGGAGGGGGCCAATTTTCCAGACACTTCAAGGGAAGCCATCTTCCCCAAATTCACCCCGAATATACATGGAGTATAGGTGACCCTCTCACTCCTTGAGGCCGTCTGTCTAGAACACTGCTGAAGTGCACCGATGAGGGGGTGCTGGAAGCTAGTGCTGCCACTGCCCATCTGGTACCTGCCGTGGAGGCAAAGTGACACCTTCAGTGTCTGGTGCTGTCAGTCTGGCCCTTTCCACCAGCATGACATTCATTAAAGCAAACCTGTTAAACCATTCCATGCCCTCTCCCCCTCCATCCCTCCCTGCCTGCCAGATACCTTACAAAGAACATTTTCTCCATACTCTTGTTGTCTGAGGGGTCTTGGGAGAAAGCTGATGTGAATCACTACTGTGAGGCCAGGCTGGGCGGATGCTGACTGCACGTTGTTAATCACTGTGACACAGGGCCATTCACACTCGGGCGTGGAGGGAGGTTCGCTAGAGAGAGCTGGTTGATTGATCTTCCACAGGAACCCTTGGCTCCAGCCGAAAAGATGGTTTTGGCAAGGTGGAGAGCAATAGAAATGGCTGTCAGATGGCTCTGAGTCATGGGGTGAGGGAGGAGGCTGGAGTGAATGTGAGCTTGGAGAGAGAAGAGCTCACCAGAACTAGTCCTTCCATTCAGCTAGACTTTCTTGCAACTTTAACCCATTTACGTTTCTCAGGACTTTCAGTGGAAGGGTTCCAAGTAGCCACCTGTGCCATATGTGCCCGTAATAGACTCATGGGAGCTTGTAGATCCCCCATAAAAGGAATTCTAAGTGTGGGTCATTTCAGTGTCGAAAAATTCAACATTGTGTTTGCCGGCAAATATCTATTGAGCCACAAAACTCTAATTTCCAGGTACTTTCCAACTATTTCTTTTAGGGTGACCCCTGATTTTCCTCTTCAGTCCCCTGATTTAGTTGGGGATTGGTCCTGCTTAGAGCAGGGGGTTGGACTAGATGACCTCCTGAAGTCCCTTCCAAACCTGATATTCTATGATTCTATGATCCCTGAGCTGCTCTTTGTACCTATGGACCACATATGAGCACCTCACAGATAGGCATGACTTTATCCTCACAACACTCCTGAGAGGCAGGGAAACATCATTCTCGCCATGGAGAACTGAGGCACAGAGAGATTGTAAGTGACTGGCTCCAGGTCACCTAAGGACTCAGTGACAGAGCTAGAAACTGAGTGCACATCTCCTGAGTGACAGGCTACAAACACCCAGTACTACCCGTAGCCCAGCCAGCCAGGCAGTTGCTACAACTGCTTGTCAGGAGTCCCGTCACTGGGTCGTGGTTGGGGAGGTCTGAGGCGTTCCAAGTTAATGTGGCCTCGTTCTGAAACCTGACACAGGTTTTAACCCAGCATAACTCTATTGACCTCAGTAAAATTAACCCCAATTAACACCAGTGTCAGTGAAGGGAGAATCAGGCCTTCCAACTCTTTTTGCTGCCCTGTGTCTTCCAGGGCCAAATCACTGCCTTTCCACTTTGGTTTCCCAGCATCCTGCCCCTTCCTCATGTACCTGGCCTGAGATGAAATCATGTTTGGCCAGCAAAACTCAGAACCATATGACAGTCCCAAAGCAGGGTGAATGTCACTGACTAGCAATGTGTGTCTGAAAAGGAAAATTAAGCAACATCTTGTCCTCCAGCAGTGCAGGTAGAATTTGGAGGCTCAGTAGGCTCCTGAAGGCTGCCTTTTCTGAGCACTCAGCAGTCTCAATCATCCTCTGGACCACAGAAGCTGTGCCCTGGGGGCTTGTTGCTTTAAGAAGCATGGGGATAGCTGTTCTGAGTAAGGCTGGTCAAAAAACGCTAATTACTTTTCGCTGGCAATTTTGGAAAATTGGTATGAGGTTGGGGGGCGTTAAATTTTCCAGTTTTTCATAAAAAAACAAAAACAAAAAAAGTTGGTGATTTTTTTTTCATTTTTTGTGGGAAATTTTACCAAAACCAGAAATTTTTTACTGAAAAATTTATTGTGAGCATTTTTGTTTTCATCACAAAGCCATTTCTCATCCCCAAAAACTGTTTTGAAGGAAAAATTCCAAGCATCTCTAGTGCCAAGGAACTGAGTGTTGTGGCAAGAAGATGTAACTAGATCTTGTGGAATTGGTCCGTCGAGAAGCTGCATGAAACAGGACAGAGTGTTTTCTTAAAGGGTGGGTGGTTCCCCTGTCAGAGCAGAAACAATCCCACAAAGATTGAGCCATGCAAATGTGCCTGTTGCCAGAACAAGGGGGTGGGAGGTGGGGTGGAAGAAGAGTATAGGCTGACCAAATAGCAAGTGTGAAAAATCGGGACGGGGGTGGGGGGTAATAGGAGCCTATATAAGAAAAAAAACCAAATATCAGGACTGTTCCTATAAAATTGGGACATCTGGTCACCCTAAAAGAGTATCATCACTGACTCTTGCTCCACTCTGAACATCTCTCTTTGTCTCTCCCCCAGTTGTCCAAGTGAATGTCTTAGACATGGAGACAGTGGCCAACTGGGCTAAGTTCACCGTCAACGTCCTCTCGGTCTACAAGTGCCGCGACGAGCGCGTGAAGCGTGGTGATAACTTCCTGTGGATCCACATGAAAGACCTGGCCTGCAAGTGCCCCAAGATCCAAATCAGCAGAAAATACCTTGTCATGGGGATCAGCGAAAACCCCACTGACCGTCCAGGACTAATGGCAGACAAGAACAGCCTGGTTATCCAGTGGCGGGATGCCTGGACCCGGCGCCTGCGGAAACTGCAGCGGCGAGAGAAGAAGGGGAAGTGTTTGAAACCATGATGGGTTTTGTGTCTGTCCCTTACTAAAGTCCCCGCCCTATGCGCACTCTTCAGACTGTTCCCCAGAGACTCTGTATATATATATAGCGAGAACAGACTCTCCTGTCTATAGTGTATATTTGCGATGGGTTCCTTTGTGTGCGTGAAGGCCCGGGTGTGCCTGGGGGGGGGGGGGTGTCCTTAATGTTGATTAAAAGTAACACAGTAAGGACAAGCCTTTAAAGAGGAGTGAAGTGCAGGATGAGCCGAGTGTTACTAGGTCTGAAGTTGCTCAGAAGATATAAGCAAAAGACCTCTCTGTCTGGGCCCCTCTCCTGTGGGTGTCTCTCAATGTTTCTGATCTCTCTTCCCTTTTGGTGATGAGCTCCATGCCCTGCTTGCTCCCAGTGTCCAAGCACAAGTCCTCAACTCTTCACTTGGCCACAGTACACCTGGGTGTGGAGAAGTCTAAGCTCTTCAGTCCCCTTCCCATCCATAGCAACTGAGACTGACCTGGTGTCAGTTCATGGATTATGAGGCAAGAAGAGACCACTGTGATCATCTCGTTTGCCCTCCTGAATAGCACAGGCCAGAGAATTTCCCTGACGTACCTTCCCCCATTCCCATCTTCTACCCTATTTCAGGTCTCCCTGAAGGGAAAGCAAAAGCATTGGACATAGAGGGTCAGATTCTTCTGTCATATGTACTGGTATAGATAAGGAATAAGTGCATGGCTTGTTAATGGATTTCCATATGCATCCAGAATGAGAGGAGATTCCAGCCCTGGAGTTCCATGAAAAACCAAAGGGTCTGATTTGCCAGTTACACCATGTTAATGCTGATATACCACCACTGATTTCACTGGCATGACACTGACGTGACACAGTGAGAATCAGGCCTTTTGGGTTTATTCAGCGACTGCTGCCATGGACCAGCCCCCACCTACAGACTGGTCTTAGCCAAGGTCACTGCCAAAGGCCCTCTTATATCCTCTCAGAAAATGTGTATGTTTGTGGGGGAAGATCCTCAGCTGGGTGAAAATCAGCCAATTTGTATCAGCTGAGGATCTGGCTCGACATGCATAAATCAGCTGTGGGCCTGATTCTGCCCTGCTTTTCACCTGGTGTAGTTATTTTCATCTGGGCCAAAGGACTGTGAAATGCTGCCATTTGGACTTGGACAGTGTTTTGCAGAGGTGTAAATGAGGGCAGAAGGTGAAATCCCAGGAAGACTGAGTCCTCGGAGTGTTTTTGTGCTTCCCCAGCCCTCTGAGTCTCAAGGGGTAGGATTGATAAAGCAAAGTTAATGCACTGGTGGTTATGGTGAGAAGCTCTAGTTCACCAGGGCAAGGGAATTGTAGTCCCTTAACACAGGCACATTCCAAATGGGCACAGAGTGGGCCTGGGTGGCTGTTGGATTGGATCTACTCAGAGGGCAGGAAATGGTGCAGCAAGATAATGGAGCAGCCTGGAAACAGAGTGTGGCGGGATAATCCTTGTAAACCAATTGCCGTGGGCACCTGTGGCTCAGGGAGGCATTATGCTGCAGAGCAGTTTAAGACTGAGGCTCATTGGCAGAGCTGTGTGAGGGCCCAGGTCTAGCACAGGGACCATTGCAGGTTAAGATACTGGCAGAATTGTGTAGTAGCTCAGGAATGGAAGAGTGTGTTGTGAGGCCAGACTGAGGTGATCTGCATAGTGATGCAGGACTGAACACCAGGAGGTGCTTTGGGGCATGGTTAAGGTACATTAGCAGAGCTGGCTGAAGGCCCAGAATTGGCTTAGCAAAGCTCTTTGAGGTCAGGACTGTCATGCACTGAAGGCCCATGAATGCTGGCAGAACAAGGGGTTGCTGAAAATCAAAGTTCCATAGCTGTGGGAGGACCAGAGACAGACTAGCAAATGGTCACATGAGGTGTGCTAGCTGGACTAGTTTGCCCAGCGGCTGCCTTTGCTGTTCTCACAGCAGACAGCACTAGCAGGTGCACCCTTGTGTTTGCATTAGTACATGGAGCAGAGTGGAAATGCACATTCCTGACACCTAGTCACTACTCATGTTATTTACATTCAGCCTCCATCATGGGATGGTCATTGAATCACAATCCAGTCCGTCCGTCCCCCCCCGCCCCCCCCGGCCAGGCCCCAGAAGGTAATGTCACCTGGGACCATACATGTGAGGCCATGTTTTCTTACAATGCCAAAACCTGGCTAATTATTGAAATCAATTGCAAAAAAAACCCACCCTTTTCTCCAGGGGGCCTGTGAGTTCACACTGCAGCCTGATTCTCCTCTCATACCAATTTTACACCAGTGCAACTTGCTTGATTTGAGTGCAGTTACTCCTCATTTACCCTGGTGTAAGTGTGATCAGGACCAGACCCACAGTGTGCTGTGTCACACATATTTTGCACACCCACTGAACACCAAAGCCCTGACGCTGATCTCATTTACACCCATGTAATTCCAGAGCAACACCATTAAAGGCACCTGAGCTACCCTGGCTTTACATTGATGTAACTGACCTCTGGAGTTGACCCCCCCCCCTCAAAAAAAAAACCCCACAAGCCATTGCTGTGCTAGGAATTGTCATTTCCTAACCAATTTACACCATGGGGCAAACTCAGGCCTGGTGTAAGAAGCTGCAATGCCATTTTTGACTATGCTTAGGGAAGAAGCTGTACAATGGTTTATTATTGTAGGGTTACAAATAAAGCCCATTTTGTTTGTGGCCCTACTAATGTATTCTAGCAGAACAACACTCTAGCAACCTTCAGGGCTCATTTTTGGCTTCTGAGCCGTACCAATGCCCCCTCCATCCCGTGTCAATCCCCTTACCTACTGCTGACACATGCAAAGGGGCACCTAGAGCCTGACTGCAGCATAAGCTAGCGTGGCAGCTGCCTAGCCTACTCCAATGAGGGGTGGAAGGCTGAGACCTGTCTCCCAGAACGTGGCTCATGGGACACGGGAATACTGGCTAGAGCGTGGCGGAGCGGCGCGAATGCCCAACACCTGTGGGCCGGCAATGAGATGGGGGGCAGGGCTTCCAGAGTTGCGCTGAATATAGTAATTGACATAATGGCCACAGGCGCCTTGACAAGTAACAGACTCGTGTGTCACTAACACAGGTGTGACGCGGGCCCATTTGTAGCATAGTAACTGCTCGTCCCTCGGGTCACCTGCGTTGGTGTAGTTGCTTGGCAGGGCTTTGAGCGAACTCGCTCGCTCCTGGCGTTAAATGTTACAGGTACTTTTTGTTTAAAATGTTCCTGTGAATTACAGCCGCACAGTGAGAGCAAACGTCATGTCCCCTCCCGCTCCACGTGCAGCCCCTGTGCTCTCAGGAGCGGGGGGGAAGGGCCCAGGTAGCACAAGGCTGGTGCACAATCTGTTCAGGTGCCAGCTGATGGGGAAAATGCACAGAGCACCCATGCCCTGCTTTAGCCTAATGTGACTCTACCTTCCCGCCCCTCCGGTGCCTGTGAGCCACAGGACCTGGTCCACCCCCGCCTTACCCTGTGTGCAGTCCGTTAACACTAGTGCAACGTGGTCATGCAACCTGTTACCAAGTAATGGGCCAGACCCTCAGCTGCTGCAGCCTGTCATAACTCCACGGAGGGCAACAGAAGCACTTCTTACACCAGCTGAGGAGCTGGCCCAGGAGTGGGAGTGCTTGACACCCCCTTGCAGCACACAGGGTGCAGGGTAGGGGAGAATCAGGCCCACAGGCCTCTGCAGCGGTGTGATGGGCTCCGGTCAACTCCCACTGAAGCCTAAAGAGGCTTGTTCTGCTGGCTTCTATGGGCACAGTCGCCATCACTTTCGCTGTCCCTAGTTTCTGGGGGGTAGGGGAGACGGGGTGTGTGTGTGTGTGTGTGTGTGTGTGTCCGTGTGTGCGTGCATGTGTGCTGCTGTTCCTGTTCTGCAACAAAGACCCTCTCAAAGTGACCAGGAAAGTGTGCAACTGTCACAGTAACTGCTTAACTCCCAAGCTGCTAGGCACAAACCAAGAGAAGGGTGGTTTTTTTGTGGAGGGGTTTTGCATGGTCGCTGAGAACGGCTGCTCCTGGGTGAATATGCTGTGGAGAATTTCTCACTTTCTCATGCACTAAATGCCACTTGGGCTGCACCTTTTGGGGGAGGAAACTCACCCCACATAGAGTTGCAGCACAAGTGCATCTTAAATCACACCTACACCCTGAGTGGGGCTGCAGGGGCGCTGAAGCTGCCTGCTGACCATCTGTACAAGGGGTAGACTTCACTGCTGTAGCTTATGAACCTTGGGTGCCCAGACTGCAGCCTGAGGGTCAAATCCAACCCAGCCCAGCCTAAAACAAAGCTCACTGCTGCTCTCTCTGTGTCAGGTGAGGACAAAACTGTCGGGTTTGACAGCTGGTGAACTCAGACCACAAGGCATTTCACGTCATATTCCTTTACTGAGCAGGTAAATGCTATGGTTGACATTTGCAAAGCTGGCTAGGGGAGTTAGATGCTGCTCTAATTAAAGAGGCACATCTACAGCCCCTAGGCTGCTTGGAGACTCTCAGCCTGTGCCTGTGTGCCTTTACTTTGTATTTAAACATACAACCATATAAGGGCAGATTCAGGACAGTTTTTGGTGTTTTGGCAAGTTGCCCTTGAACGTTGCAACGTTTGGGCACCCAGAATGGTAGGTATGACATGGGCCAAGCCTGCTGCAGGAAACACCATCTCCCTGACCCTCTCCTCAGGCCAGCTTTGGACCTCTAGGTTATAACATGTATGTCTTGTCAATAGTTTCCAATATGCAACAGAGCAAAAGAATTGGAGGGAGGCTGTGGACCAGGACATCTCCATGAAATAATGTTGAATATGTAAAAAAAAAATAACAACCAATGTTATGGAACATAGTGTAACATATATAAGATATGTACTTTTTCTTTTTTATTATTATTGTTTTTAATAACACGAGTCTAATGTGTATTGCCTGCCTAAATCGGTGTTTTCTTTCCCTGAGACTGCAGTTTGCATTTGGCTTTTGATGCTAAACTGCTGATGACACCTCATCCCCCACCCCGGACATGGGTTCAGTTGCTTCTTAATTGCACCAGTAAGGCCCACTTGGAAGCATGCCTCGCGCAGAGCACAAGGCAAGTGCTCAGCATAGCAGGGGTAAATGTGCTTATTTACACCAGCTGAAGATCTGTGAGTTTGGGGGGTGGGACTGAGACCCAGACTGGATTCCAAAGGAGGAGGTTCAAGGGATCCCATCAAGATCAAAAGCAAGGACCCTGATTCTGAGCTCACTTAGAATGAAATTCAGCCCTGTGCATGCAGCCCTGGGCCTGTGCACGCTGATTACATTCCACTTGCTGTGAGTAGTGCCTCGACTTCGGGCTGGTGTTTTGCACAGGGGTGAAGGTCACTCTTACCCCCATTTTACTCTGGTGCAACCCCATTTGCTTCAGTAACTGGACATGGGGGTCCGAGTGAAACCAAAATCAGGCACTGGGGCCAACTCTGCTGGCAACGATTGGTGCAGCTCCATGGCAATCACGGGACTTGGGGCAGTTTGCACCAGTAGAAAATGTGCCTCCATGGTTTTAAAATTGCCTGTAGCTTTGTTACTAGCGCCACCTTTGCTGATGAAATATGCCTCCTCAGCTGGTGTAGATCAGCACGGCTGCAGGGGTTACAGCGGCACGCCACAGCGGAGGTGCTGCCTCGGCCCTCTGAAAGGGGTAGAGCAAAAAGCCCACTTCTCTTCACTTGGTGGAGCGTAAAGAAAGGCTGGCCAGTAACCACACAGAAAACGGCCACCGAGGCGAGCCGATGATACGAGTAGGGGATGGTGCATGCACACGCTTACTGGTCACGCTTATGTTAAGGGTCCACTTACAAATAGTTTCTATAAGGTGGATAAATAATTAACAGATGCTATAAGCATGTGACAGCTATGAGTGGTCTGTGTGACAGCAGGTTATGAACAAATCAGGAGGCAGTGTTACAGATGATTATATGTAATCTATTGATCTGTTGGATTGTATAACAATCTGTAATAAATGATGGACTATTTATTAAACCATCTATTAACATTTTATTAACCCTTTATAAGCTATTTAGAAATGGACTCTGAAAATAGAGGGTGCCACTGACTAGCAGGCATGTTAACCTCAATAATTTAGCTTCCCTGAGCAAATTTTCTCACTTTTGTCACTTCCTGACCCTTCTTCCAGTCCATATTAAATGCCATTTCTTCCATACTAAGCCCTGGCACACCTCGCCTCTGGCTGCTGAGAACTGCCATTTACTGCTAGCTCTGAAGATGGTTTTAATCCATGACAGACTTTGCCTCTAACTCTGGAGTTACCAGGTTTCCTTAATAGCCTCGTGAGGATTTAATCAAAAATTCAACCCTGAAATTCTAAGTGCATCACATCCCCTCTTCTCCTGGTTCTAAAGGGCTGGGGAGCAGTCAGGCGTGGTTTGTTACATGCAGCCCGATGATTGAGTATTTTTTGGTTAATCTAAACCTAATCACATCGATATGTGTCTTACTTTTAAGCCCTGAAGCAGAGCTCTGTGGAGCTGGAAAGCTTGTCTCTCTCGCCAACAGAAGTTGGTCCAATGAAAAATATCACCTCTCCCACCTGGCTGCTCTAATAGCCAGGGCCAACACAGCTACAACAAACACTGCAAACATACTTTTAGTCTAATCTGTCCGTCTGTCTATCCTCACCAGCATTTTTAATGCGCCTCTCATAATGTCTTGGCACCAGAGCTACAGTTAAGGATTTCCCTGAAATTCATAGAGTTTAAGGCCAAAGGGCCCACCGGCTCATTCAGTCTGACCTCCTGTTTGTCACAGGCCACCAACACAACCCAGTCACCTGCCCACTAAAGTCAACAATCAAAATAAGACCAAAGTATTACAGCCCTCAGGAGACGAGGCTGTTCTGTGCCACAGGCAGAGAACAAAAGGGACTGAGGTGCGCCAGTGCCTGAGGCCCAGCAGGGCAGATGTACCCAGATAATCCCAGCAAGTGACCTGCATAAATGGCTCTGTGCTCTTTCGGTCTTTAACTTCAGTCACTGTTAGAACTGAGATAAGGTCTTCCTTCTGCTTTTCCCTGACCCTCACTGTCTCCTGCCCACCGGAAGTGAAACCGATGGTTCCTTCTGGGGGAAAGCAGCTCTTGCATTTTGCTCCATAACCAGGCATAGGGCTTATTCTGATACCTTCTGGGCCTTTGTTCCACATCTGGAGCCATCTGACCAAGAACACTGTGCCCTGTTCCCAGAGAAGCCTTGCTCTGGCTGCGGACAGGATGAGACAGTATATCCGGGTGTGCCATTGTCACCACACCCATTGCTTACTTAGCTGCCCACTGATCACTGTGCCCCACAGCTCCAGGCACAGGAAAGCCAGAGATGCTGTTGGAGAGTGAGCCAGCCTGACCCTCCCTGACATCTTGAAGGAAGTTAGTTAACTAAGGCTAGGATTTCCAAAAGAGACTAAGGGAGTTAGGCACCCAATTCCCATTGGAATTCAGTAAGATCTGGGTGCTTAACTCCTTTGAAATCCCAGTCTGTGCTCATAACACTTACTGTATACCATGGCACCCTCTAGCCCTCCATGCATTGGCAGCAACAAAAGACTGTTATCCTAATTGTGGGAGTAGCCACTAGAGGGTGATGCAACAGGCACAATGCAAGTGTGTTATACATGAACATCATTGTATAAAGTGTGCTGGAGACAATGTATTTGCTTTGCTTGCAGCGTTGCTGGGGGGGGGGGGGGTTTTGTCAGGTTTTTCAATTAATGTTGCATCTTCCCAATGAAGGTGTAACTCTCTTCAGGCAGTTCTATGGCCACCTAACCTCTCCTCCTGCCCCAGATCCCTTTGGCTTGGTCAAGTCACACACAGCAAGGGAAGGCGAGGTGGCAAAAGGAGGGAGGTTTCCTGCATCAGGCCAAGTGTACAGGGAACATAAGGAAACCATTAATTGATTGGCTGACCTGCCCTGTGTTTTTGTAAGGAACAGTTAAAGACAGGGAATGGTTGGGGTCAGAGGGGTGGCCATCTGGTGAAACCCATTGGCTTCCTTCGGTGCAGGTTTTCCCACTGCTGAGTTAAAAGAATGAGTTAAAAGAACAAAAGAAAGAAACTGAGATGCCAGAATATCCACCATCTCAAGCTGGGACTCTACCTCATGGCCCAGCTCTGACCCTGGCCACTCCCAGGCTAGCTGCTACTTCCTGCTCTTGGCTAGGACCTGGGGAGAGCATCTGTCTGTAAATATCACTGCTGACTTTCCGAGCGGGGCAGTGCAGGGATGCTCTGCTCTGGGAGACAGGGATGAGATCACAGGGGGGTGTAGACATAGCCAGGAATTTCCTGTGATGGCTACAGGAAAGGAGGTGTTGGCTGTGGCCAGTATTAGGTTGGGCACCATGCTCTTGGAGTTCACTTGGATAGATTCAGTAACGCTAGAACTCTCCTCCCCCACAACCCCCCATGTGTTGTTGTTTATTATTTGTATTACTGTATTGCCAGGAGCCCCAGTCATGGACAGGCCCCATTGTGGTAGGTGCTGGGATCCTCCAGAAGCTTGCTGGGAAATGGGTTTTCAAATCCTGCAAATATTTCTGAGAATTCAACCTCTTTCTCCTTCTCAAATCAGAACGAAAAGTCCAAATCTTGAAAATATCCAGGAGCTGAAACACTGATTTATTTCTTTTGTTTCAGGGAATCAAAATGTTTCCTTTTCATCCCAACCTGCTGTAGATCCAACCCCTAGCTGGCGTTGAGACAGTGAACTGGGTTCAATTATTGAATCTGCCAAAGATTCCTTCTGTGACTGTGGGCAAATTCACTTAGTGTCTCTCTGCTTCAGTTCCCATTTGTACAATGGTGTCAATAATTTTGTCTTGTCGGTTAGACTGTAAACTCTTTGGGACAGAGACTGTCTCGTCCTCTGCCTATGTACAGCCAGCACCATGAGGCCCTGACCTCAAGCAAGGTGTCACAGTAGTTCAAATAGTAAATCTGGTGGAATTAGCTGACATCCAAACTGCAGATAATATTTGATCCAGGAACCTCAAAGTGCTTTACAAGTTTTAATTCATTAAGCCTTACAGCACTACTTATGAGGTATGTTATTACTACTAGCTTAAAATGGAGAGATGGGCATCAATTTGGGAACCTGAGGTTCCTAACATTATAAAAGAAGCTGGCAATAGAACCCAAGAAAATGTCTAATCACCAGGACCCACCAGCTGCCTGAACTGGCTAGCACTAGGACATTCACCCAGGTTAGACACATTATGTTACCAGGTTGTTTTAGATGGAAGCGGACCGCTGGAGGGTGGAGAGGATAGTGATCTCCCTGTTTATTCCATCCTGAATTTCCCTACCAAAGGCCCATTCCTGACTGGAGTAAGAGGGGAAATCAAGTCCTTATGTTCATTTTCTCCCCTGGGACTGATTTTTAAGAGTCTGATTCTGAAAGCTATTGAGCACTTTGGGGAGCTGCAAAGTCACTTAGCATCTCTCTCTGAAGCCCTTAGCATTATGCAGGATCAGGCCCTAATGGAGTAACAAACCACAAAGCATTTGTAAAAGTAAGCCCTCTGTTTATACAACAAACGGTCCATACACGACATTAAAATAAATGCTTTTGCTTCCATCTCAGACAAATCCCATTTCCCAGAAATGCCAAAGAGCAGAACTTTCTGTTGTCATAATAAATACTGCCCACTCCATTCCCCTGTCTCAGGAGCCCACGCAATGTGAAATGAAATGGCTAGGGTTTATTAGGAGTACAGCACATTGGGCAGAAGGTTCATAGACACAGCACTTGGACAAAGACACGTCGTCATCTATGAAAAACAAGAGACGAAGACAGAGTTGATCATAAAAAATGGTTACCTATCTTTTCCTAACTGTTGTTCTTTGAGATGTGTTGCTCATGTCCATTCCATGCTAGGCGTGTTTGCCCCCCCCCCCATGCACTGTTATTGGAGATTTTTGCCTTAGCAGTATCTGTTGGATCAGCTGTGGTGCCCCCTTGAGGGCCACACTCATGCATTGGTATGTTAGGCACTGCCAATCCTACACCATCTCAATTCCTTCTAGGAGGGTGGGTCATGGCAGAACAGGGTGGAACAGGGTCCCTGACATGCAGGTAGAGGGGCTTGAGGCCCTTGAGGAACCTGGCAGTCATATCCTGGGCAAAAACCGACCTGCTCTAGAGTGGCAGTTGGAAGGCTGAAATAGCGGCCAAGTGGACCTTGATAGATGAAAGGGACAGGCTTTGGAGCTTGAGATGCAGAAGGTAATCCAGGATCAACTTCACTGAGGCCCATTCAGGCCAAATACCTTTATCCAAGGTCCAACAAGCACTTCCATTTGGCCAGGTAGGTTGCTCTGGTGGAGGGCTTTCTGCTGCCCAACAGGACCTGCTGGGCCACAACTGAGCACTCCTGCTCCTCCACATTTAACCAAGCAGCAGCCAAGCCGTCAGGTGCAGTGCTGCCAGGCTTGGATGCAAAAGACTGCCATGGTTTGGGGACAGCAAGTCCAGCCTGAGCAGCAGCTGTAACAGAGCAGCCAACAAGAGGTCTGAATCAGTGATGGTGCAGCCACCCCAGCACTATGATCACCTTCGCCCTGTCCTGCTCGATTTTCATGAGGACTCTGTGAATTAGCAGCACTGGAGGGAAGGAGTACAACAGAGCCCCTGACCACGGGAGCTGAAAAGTGTCTGACAGGGAGCCTCTGTCGATCCCCGAACTGAGCAGAAAACATGGCATTTCCAGTTCTGCCTGGACGCGAACAGGTCCACCTGGGTAGTTCTCCACCTCTGGAAGATGAAGCTGACCACTTCCAGATGCAGGGACCACTCATAGCGAGACGAGAAGGTCCTGCTGAGGTGATCTGCCAAAGTGTTCCTTGCCCCGGGGAGGTGAGTGGCTATGAGATGGATGCCGTGTTGTATGTAGTAGGTCCAGAGCCTGAGGGCTTCCCGGCAAAGGGCAGAGAATCTGGCCCAGCTTGTTGGTAGAGAACATAGCTGCTG